TCTGCAAAAAAATGAAAGCAGGGTACACTGAAATGGGGCCAGCATCAGCTGTCATGGCCAGGCCTTCACACAACATCCAGCATTAAGAGCACAGCTGCAGTCAGAGGAGTTAGGTCACAGTTGTCCTAATGGAAAGGTATTTTTTGGAGGGATTCCTTCTCCTAGCAAGTTGAGCAAAGAGGCTGAAGAACAAAGCAACACCTAAGGATACTGCTAGCTTGCACACAGAAGCATTCCTAGCATCAGCGTGGTTACATTCACCACCTCCAGACTCTACATCTCCGACTGTCTTGGTGTTCCCCTCAGGCAGCACGCAGCAGTGGAGATGGCAGAGCTGGACCTACTGGGAGTTCTGAGATCGTCTCTTAACAAACGTTTGTGGAGGACCTATCAGAAGTAGAAAGTTAGTGCATTTTAAGTGTTTCCAAACTTCTGAAGCTGTCAGGGAGTGGTGCTGCTCTGTACACCCTTTGTTTTTATTAACTATGAGTACCGGGAGTTTGCAAACCTTTGTGAAAAGATTATGCAAGAACAAGCATTAAATTCAGCATGATGTTTACTTTAATTGAGCAATATTCCATAGCCACTCTATAAACAGAAACAGATGACTCTTGCTCACAACATTTACTTTTTTAGGTCTGTTTTGGGAGATGTTTAAAGTAATTAATGGACTTGGGGAGAATATCAAGGTCAAAGGCACAGAACCTATAAAGACAAATACAAAAATGGGTTGAGCCGTGATCTTTGAGAAAAGGTTCTATTAAATTGGCAACTTCAAACTTCAAGCTACTGTTTTAAAAAACCCCTCACAATTTAATATTGAGGTGGTACAGCAAAACATGAGTACAACAATACCTTTTGAGTAAAGAAGAATTGTGAGAGCCAGATAACATCTACAATCTATCAGCCATGGACATACTTAAGGACTGGGTTTTCCCTCAGATTATCAGCTTAGATACATGGCAATCAATTAGAATATATATCACACAGACGTGTATATTGTATATGAAAATGTGCCACAGACAGCTCTTGGGAACTGCAGCCATCTGCCTTTCCTCAACACCAGTACATCCTGAATCTGGTGATCATAGTGAGAAAGAAGAAGAAGGTCATTAAAAGAGACCACATCATTATCAGAAAAGTGGTTGCTGTTAAAGGACAAGAAAAATTAAAAATATTGCTCTAAAAAAGATTCACTGTGATCAAATGCTTTTGGTTACCCCTTTCTGGAGCCTCCAACAAATAGGATTGTTGAGAATTTCTGCAGGGAAAAAAACAAACAACACAACAAACCCAAAAACAAACAAACAAAAAAACCCCACAAAAGATAAAATAGATCTCCGATTCCTGCTTCAAGAAATAGTTGCTCAAACTGCTTCTGTCTGGAAAAGTCTTTTAAAGACTCCCAAATCAGAAAGTCCCAGAATTCAAATCCTGATGGGTTTAAATCTTCATCTGCCATACCCACTCCAACCCCAATTACCATTAAGTTCAAAGGTAGCCAACAAAAGCCCAACAAAATACAACAAGCTAAAAAAATCTTGATGGAAAGGGAGAAGTAAATTATAAGTAAACTAGTAGATAATTTAAAGTTAATTTTAATTAAAATCCTAATGTTAATCTGAAACAACAAACACAGGAGATAATGTTAATTATTCTCCCTATTTTATATTCATCATTTTTAAAAATTATTTTTATTTATTAAATCATCTGCCTGTTAAATAGGACCATTTCTTTCTTACTGCCTAACAGAATTAAGTATATTGTGGCCTTTTTTAATGTCTACTCTCATTCAGATGTTTTCTAAATTTAAGTGGCTTTAAATTAATTTCTTTTTTTTTAATTTCTCAAGCCCCAAGTAGTCTGCTTTTCTCAAAGCTCAGTCCATGAATTGGAGTCCTATATAGATTCAAAGATGTTTCCCTGCACCTCATGCTGTAGGTAATCAGCATTGTTCAAAAACAAATACAAAGCCAGAACAGATAGTCTAAAGTAATTTCCTAGAGAAGACAGCCCCCACTGCTTCAGTCACATCAAAGATATAGTGGCTGGTGTGCTCACAAATTGCTGACAACAAATGGGGAGCTGTTTATCAGCCAGAGTGGTGCAGCAGATATTGTTGAGAAAATACAAACCAGAGAGTTGCACCCAGTACTTCAAGCTGGCAGACAGGTATTCTTTCACAAATCATACCTTGTTTTCTTGTCTCCAGGAAATTTTGTACATTTTAGGAATTTTTCATCTGTAGAAATGCAGTATGTTTAAGAAACCAAAGACAACTCTTTTCCAGCCACTGTATCACTAAATAGCTGATGTACTAGTACCTGTTAAAAGACAAAAAGCTGCCTGTGATGAAAGCTTAACCTGTAATGACTTCTAACCAGGGATACGAGAACCCAGATATTAACACAGTTATGATCCACAGTAATCATTATTCTGGTAATTTCAAACACTGAACAAACTGCAGTCAGCTTAAACAGATTCATGTGACTGACGTCCCACATAACGCTCTAAAAAAGACCTATTGGGAAATGCTTTTACAGCAGTTATGTTGATGGCACACCTCACGGGAACAATGAAGGCATTACAAAACTCGCGTCCACAAGGAGACTGCACTCCTTTTTTTGTACTCCTTTAAAGTTATTTAATGAAAACAGAGATGTAAGCCATTTTTCAGTACACCAGGAACACAGAACAGAGCACTGCAGTACGTAGTATTTATGCAACAGATTGATCCTAAGTGTATCTTAACAACCTCATTTGGGTTTTATGCTCTCTATATAACACAAGAGAAAGTTTCTTAAGAACAGGATTCACAAAACCCAACAAGACAAAAAGGAAATCAGCTCAATTAGCCAGTATCGATATTGAGAAAAAGGCCTTACCTATTATGTTTCGACTCTTCCTGGAAGCTTCTGGGATATAACACTTACAACTCAGAGTCTTTACTTATCGCCTCTCCACCCCAATCCTACCCAAATCTGCTGAGACCTTCCGCTAATCACCCTTTGCTCTCTTTGCTCCTGAGGGAGCCGACTCGTCTTCTGATCTAGATAATTTTCCTACTATGCTGTAGGGTATTCTGAACTAAAAATGCTCTTCACTTTCTTGTTGAAGATGTTCTGCATGAACAAATTAGGCAGGCGCAGGAGAGAGAAAACAGTAAGATGTCATGAATCAGTAATCTACTAAAGAGGGTGTTCACCTCTAAGGGGGAAGACTTAAAATCCAGCCTGCATTTCAGACAATATTTGGCACAAGATACTTAGGACAAAATAAATAAAAATAATTTAAAAAAACCAAAACACAAATAAACCCAAAATAAACAAGCAAACAAATCTCTCACCTCCAAGATGACAGACCTAATTGTAGGATAGATTTATCCTCATCTTCTCTCTCTGGCAAAATGAATATTTAACTATCCCTTAGAGTGCAGAACAGTCCCATTAGGAGAGACTCTTCTTCACATTAACTATTGTCTGCAGCTTGGTTCTTCATAAAGGAAGACACAGGTTCAAGTGAAGGAAAGGATGAAATCTAGGCATCACACCTGGTTTGGATGAATCACTGAAAAGGTATGTGAAGGAGCCTCACGACATATCTCTTCCAAACTCCCTGATGCAGCATTTTATGCTTTACAGTATTCTTAGGATACTCTAACACTGGAAACACAAGAGTCAATGAAACTTAGGAGAGTGACCTTTCGGGACATTGTGGCACTTAAATTGGCAATTGTGTCTACAGCTTCCTTAGAACAGTGTTTGTTTCTGCTAAGTCCTGAATAAAATTCAGAAACTGTCGAAAGGGCTTTTTTGCCTTCACAATATTATAAACTTTTTAAATTCTGTGAAGATTTGCATGGAATCTAATTTGCCCCTAGCATGCTTGACATTTCTTCCTGGAAAACTGTATTTATGCTCCAGTATCTCCACACCCACAGAATCACACAAGCGTATGTGTACACATAGATAACCACATACACAAAGAGAGACAGACATGCATACAAACACACACACAGACTCACTGTTGACTAATTTTTGTTGGTGTTTTTGTTAAATGTAATTCACAATTAAATACTGCTTTTAGAACAACTTTCCAGGGACTCAGCTGTTCTGCTCAAACCTTCTTCACAGCTGAAGAAGAGACAAAACATGGGCAGCCTTTTTTATTGAATTAATTTGATTTTTGTCTTTTGTCCTGCCAGCTATCAAAATTGTCAGATAAACCAGCTTTGATTCATAAATAATGGTTCCATTATATTTACTGTGCCACTGGTCAGAGTACCTGAAATTTTAATTCACTTGTTCAGCTAAATTTCATCCTCAGTTCATGGCCATAAAATTCTGTATTGACAAACTTTCAAACCAACTTTGACTCTGAGGTATCTAGTCAACATTTTTCTTCTGTGTGGATATTAGTTTATTGAATAAGTGGCATCTGTTTTCCTCCACATCACTAGTGGAGTAGGTATTTCCTTTTGACAGCTTTGCACGATTTATGGGTTTGCATGCTCTGAAGAAAAATAGTACTAAGCAAAAAATTCCAATTCATTACCTCTTAGTACTTAATTAAGTTCATACACATTGCACACTATAGGTGAACCCTGAAATGACTGTGACAGCCACTGAGCAGCCAGTTAGATTATCTTTGGAAGACAGACAGACTTTTAATTATCTTGACCTCATTTTTCCATCTGTGATATTCATAAATTTTCCTTCTATTTTGTTGCTTCCATCAGATGTACCAAACCATTCTGAAAACAAGATTATATCCTTAGCTATTTCCTTTTATCTGCACATTTAGGCACCAAATGTTTTTAAAAATAGTGAAGTCAAGCAATGTTTTTTATCGGCTTACTTCACACAGCTGCAGATGAATTATGTCGTACAGGCTCCTCCTAATAATGGTTTGGTTTTGGAAATGATAACAGCTTGATAAAAGAAGAAAGCAGTGGATCTGGCTATCAGTAGATACAGAAATAAAGAGAGCCTGGGCTTTACCTGTCAGGGTTCTGCGTACACACATGCATCTGTAAGAGGATCCGCTGGGTGAAAGTCTTAAAGCATTGCCCACATTTCCAAAGATGCCAGTCACTGAACTCAGAATTTAGTTGGCTTGTTGAAGTTGGGCTTGCAAGAACTCGTTGGTTTTTGACACTGATCTGGTTAAATCCTGACTCGATGGACCCAGACTTATCCAGGAGAGAAAAATTTCTGCTACACGGAGTCTGTGGAAATACTATGGATCGCTGTGGAGTGGCAGGGGATAGTTTGCTACTTTTATTAAATGGCTGTAGGGTGTCTTGTCTGGACATGGCCTCCATTACAGTCGAAGGGACATTCACTGGGAGAAAACAAGAAAAGTAAATAAGATCCTTTTTATGCCTTTTTAAAACTAATACAGTGTTGGGAGACACCAAAAAAATACCAACATCCATTTTCTTGATACTAGAATTAAACAACTTTATTTTAACAATGCACAAAAAAAAAAAAAGGGCTTAAATGAGACAGTGACCTGAACGGATGATGCTGATATTGTGACACTGAAATGTAAACTCATGCGAAGGGGTGTCTGAGACTGAAAGGACTCAGAGCAGCCTGACTGTGATATACATTTATTGCACAATGGGATTGTCATCTGAAAGAAAATGCTGCTGCACTTGTGATACCCTGACTCTGCATGTTGCAGAGTCCAATTGCTGTATCACAGACAAGCATGAATTTTGAGAGCATGGGGAAAAAAATCCTTGCTCAGACACTCCTTGAGATACAACAGGGCTTAAATATCTACTGCAGCAATAATTCCTTTATCCTCTTAAAGGTCAGACACTAACGATATTATACTATTAGATGTCACAAATAGTCACATAGCCTGTACAATACAAAGCCAGTGACTTCACCATGACTCGTATGATTAACGCTAAGAGCAGCCAGATCACCATGAGACAATGCAAAGTATAGGCAGACATATCTTTGTACATCAATTTCCCACCTACAAAATAGGAACAAAAACTGTTTCTGGTCCCGTGAATGTCTTATGATCATCAGTTAACTATGGCTTATGAGGCACTCAGACATTTCAGCAACAAATGCAATATACTGTTATCATAAAGATATGATTTAGTGCTGAATTTGGATGTTGCATATTAAGGAAGGCAGGAGGTCAAACATATAGAAGAAAGCTGCCTCACTCCTTGAGTACCATCTAGATCATGCAGTGAATGAAGCAAGGGTCCTATGGAAAAACGGGGTCAGCTAATGAAAGATTGTACCACCATGCAAAAAGAAGCATAATTTAGGTGACCTGGGCCCAGTACCTTCTCATGCTTTCTAAGTTAGGCACATTCAACCTCATGAGATGATAATATTTTAATGGGAATTTTTTAATTAAATATGTTGCATACATATGTCTACATCTACATATGTTCACACATTTTGTTACTGTTGCAAAGTGTTTATATGTATGTGTCCACGTGTAGGTACATAGCACCTACTAAAGAGGTGATTAGAAACTGCAAATCAAGTCATGATGATAGATTTCTAAGAGCAAATACGAGCATTAAATTTCAGTTGTGAGCTGGAATCACCCAACATTATTTAATATACAATAAAAATGTAATACAAACCAATTTTTGGTAATACCTTAAATAATGCCAGTAACTTCACACAGTTATGTCCTAATAACTTCCATCAATCATAATAACTTCAATATTATAGTATTGCATGCTATTTAATTTACTTAAGTTGAGGTCCTTCCTAGGTTATTCTTTTCTGGAATATCTGAGGACCTGATTTCTAAATAGAGTTAAAGTCATGAGGCTGTCTATCACAAGTTTCCAGCCATATAATACATTTTCTGTCTTTTGTCAGCACAAGGGGCAATTTGTATACTTTCATTTTGCCCCAACATTCTTACACAAGCAGATCACTTTTTTTTTTTTAAATTATATTCATAAAAGTGCACAGAAGCAATAATATCAGGACATTAAAGACCTAAAGAATATAGGAAGAGCTTGTACTGGGTGAAAATACCTCTGTGCAGAAGATAAGCAGGTTTACCCTGAGGGCTTAAGTGGCACTTAAGTCATATACCAGCTTGCAGCCGGCTCCATGCTCAGAGGTTAACTTCATCTACCCATGTAAGTCTCTCTGTGGATGAAACTCTTATTTCTCTCACATCAAAATATTAAGTGACAATATTTAGAGGTTTTAACTATAATGCTTTGCTTTTCAAATAAAGGGTTTGTAAGCCTCAGCTCATGAAAGAAAAAATAATATTTCTATATTGTACACTGTAGAGCAAGAGTTTTATCAGCAAATATTAGTGCCAGTAATTAAATTTCTTTTAAACTTCTCTCAAACGCAACAGATTTGAAACCTCAAGATGAAAAAGGATGTTTATTTTTGACAGTTTAATCCCTTCTATCTTGCTGTTTTATTGCTGCATGGTTCAGTATGTAAGTTGCTACGAGACATGAGTTCATCCTAGCATTGCTGTTTAAGTATCTACGTACTTGACCAAAAAAAATGTATCTTGTAATGTGGGCAGCCAAAGTCAATCAGGCCTCCATCATCGGTTTCTTTCACCACATAGATACACATAGCTGTTAAAATGGAAGAGAGGTCTTTGATGCAAGCTCTAATCAAGTTCCACACATGAACAGTGAAACTGGAGGGCCTGATTTGATCACCCATTCCCATTACAGACAAAGGTGTCCAGCACTAATTGCACTGGGTCTGTGTTATAAGTTACATGCTTAATTTTGTAATGATTCATAGCAAATTAAAATAAAATATTGAGAAGGGGTAGAAGAATGGATGGAAATGGGGATGGCCAGGATGGAATGGAGGTTCATTGTCATTTCAGCGACTTTTACACTCAGTCTGTATTTAGAGAAGCTGGCATTTACCTCTTAACCACAAGGATCAATCTCTCTCTACAAAACTCTACAATCAGTCAGACAAAGCTTTTCTCGACATACTCAGTGGTAACAGAATGAAGAATCACTAACAGAGGCCTCGTGGACTTGCAATGCATTACTGTTTTGCCAAGACAGTCTCTTGTGATAGGTCTGATAACAATGGAGAGGGCCAAGCAACTTGGTTAAGAATGGACTAAGAATGAATCATTTGTAAGAAAGAGTGATTCTACGCACTGCCAAGCCATGTGGAGCTGCCATGGTGGGAAATCTGCTGCTTAATTGCACATATCTGCACACTTTCAAACACCTCTGTTTATTTAGGTAACCACACCGTGATTTCGCACAGCTTAAGTGTATCAGCTTCAGGGTTTTATTTTGTACACATCAAGCTTACCTTAAATATATAACCACTTTCATTTAATATATCTTAAAATACTCTAGGAATATAGCTGATTAGGTATGAAACAAAAATTTTGGCTTATATAGGTAGAAATGTAAGGAACAACTTACAATTTTCATCTTGTGCAATGCACTGGAGAGGGATTCCAAAGAAAGATGTGTAGCTGTCATTGTACCACACCAACAGCTCAGTGCCCCTGGGGATATCTATACAAGCCCGGTAGAATATATTTGACCTAAGCAAGAGAAAAAGAAAAAAAATGCCTAATTTAGGAATAGAGCATTCTACTGTTAACATACACAGTATTACAGTAGAAATCCATTGTTTTGGAAGCATTTCTGCAGATAACTAAATGAATAACTTCTTATTATTTTAAAACCAAATCTATCATCAGGGAAGGACTTTCTTCCTGTAGCATAGGGTAACAAAGATCTTGCAGGCACTTTGTACATAGCATATTTAAAACACTATGATTTTACAAGCACCAAGATTTTATGAAAAGACTGATGATATTTTCCTGCAATGTCCCTTTTAAAGTGATTTTGGAAATGCTACATTTTGTTCACACAGTACAAGCATCAGAGTCATGCACACAGTTCAGCAAGTGCAGTCATTTAAAGAGCTTTGCATGTCATCTAAGCTAAAGTTAACATATTTTAGGGGTAAATATAAAACAATTCTTTCTGTTGAGTAAGTGCTTTTAGCAAGAGGTTTGAAGTAGTGTGACGTGGCCTTTCGTTACAGCAATATACCACCAAAAAGAGAGATCTTGGATTGCTGAGTAAAATAGACTCTGGCTTGGGGAAATAGAAAAATGGGGTTAATCTGAACATTCAACCACAAAAATCTTCCCCTGTATGGAACATGAGGGTATCGTTGATGATCCTTCAGTAAGTACAAATTAATGTTACCATAAATGTGGTATCTTATCACATCACTCTGTGGGAAAAGACTGTGGATATTCCTAGACCACTGAACTGGGACTTGAGTGGGGAAAAAAGAAAAAATCCTAGAGTCTCTAGCATAAAAACAAGAGCCTTATCCTGATCCTGCACTGATGTAAATAGCTTCAGAGTAATACCTCTACAGTTAACAGATTAGGCACAAGATAAAATAAAAATGTTATCAGTTTATAGTAGCTTTTCCCTTAGGCTTCACATGGAACAGTAGAACACACTCCTGTGAGATAGATAGAAATTCAATATATACAAGAAGAACACTCCACTCTCGCTGAAGGATTACATACCAAAATGATACAGTCAAAGTACCAAGAAATGACCATTTTTTATAACAGCTTATGTAAGGCAGAAAAACATCTATAGACAAAAAAAAAATGTTAGGCCTCAACTGGTTTTCTGAGTGAAGAATTGCTACAAACGTTAGCCTGAAGTTCAAGATAAAAGTGTTTAGGGTTGGAGGCCTTAAATTTAGACTTTCTGTAAAGAATTGGCTGTAGCGATGCAATTTGTTCCTTGTATAACACTGCAGACATAAGGAGAATCCTTTACCACATTTTTCATGGCAGTGAGATATGCACTTGTCAACATATTTTGTCACCGCAAAGTGGCTCTTGGCAACAGGATCATAAAGATCAATAAAAAAGTGCAGATTCTCAATATTTTACTAGCAGCTGCAAAAATTTCATTTATCTTGTTATTTTCCTCGCTTACTGCCACCCTGTCTCAGGAGGGCACTGCTAGCTAAGCAGAACGGTTTTCCTACCTTTCTATGAATATCTGACAAAAACTCTCCCCTTTGTGTCTCCCCCTCTCCTCCTCCTCCTCCTTTCTTCTTCTCCCTCTTTTTCTTCCCAGAGCTGTACATTTTGTTAATTCTTTCCACTGTTACATAAAAATGAAAATTGGAGCCACGCTATAAATTACCAGCATCTCCTAACTTGAGAAAAATTGAGTCTACTTTGTACTTCACCCTTGTAACATTTCATCTCTCAGTTTGGCTTCCCTTAACATAAACACAGCAGCCCAGCAAATGAATGTGCTAAAACCAAATGACACACTTTGCCGCTGAAAGAGCAGAACTGTTTTTGAGCAATGGGTGGTCTGTGAGGCTTGGAGTAGGCATGGAAAAAAAAGTGTAAGCGTACACCGTCCCTTACAAGCGTGCAGAGCTTCCAAAACTCGCAGAAATCTCTGCATGCTGAAGTACATCAAAGGGATTTTTCCCTTTTCGGATAATATTTCCTTTGCTGACATGTATTTAGTATTTTGGTTGGATGACTCATAAAGATAGCTTCATGGCGTCCCAACGCAGTTGAAGCAGAACACATGCCAACAAACATTATTGTCAGCCTCAAAATAAAAACAAAACGTTCAGCTAAGGGTCAATCAATCAAGAGCACTTTGAAGAAAATTCCATTTAGATATTACAAATCATAACAGAATGAATTTAAACCAGCTGACTTTCTGTGAGGAGGACGTCCATGTACAATAAAAATTAGGCCGGTTTTTCAGTGTCCAACTTTTCTATTTTCTTACACTTGGATGCAGTCACTGGTGATGGATGCCAGTTTTTTAAATTGTGTTTTTGTAGTTCATTTTATAAAGATCTAAAGTAATCGAAAACAGATCAACAGAGGGAACTCTAAGTAAAAACTCCATCATGAAAGAAGAGTTGTAAAATCCACTTAATATTGACAGATGTGTAATGACTTTCTCATGCTCACTTTTCATTTAGGTTTGTCATCTATATATATATGTACGCATATATATTTTTTCTTATTTTTTATATATATATGCGCATGCACACGCCACTACACTGAGAAATAGTTCACAAGATACCTACAAAAATACTCTTTCATCATAGCAATCTTTATTCATTATCCACTGTGTTTATTTAAAATCCGACAGGACTTTAGCTATAAATATCAGATATTTAAGACTATAATAAAAGATTTGTAATGTATAAATAGGATTGTTATTTTTTTAACTGCGGCATTATTTAGTCAACTGGCCAGAGAATAAAAAAGCTGAAAATGCAATCGAACAATTTTACCATTGTTAAATTGGAACCCTATGGGATAATCAAACTTTATATATATTTCATTTTAGCTTGCTTTTGTATGTTTTATTTTTAATTTTAAAGGTACTTTAAATAAGTTTAAGATTCTTCCTAAAGAAAAGAAACTCCACTCTCTAAAACGACTAGCCAAAATCAGGATTGCTCACTGTGACTGGCAAGCCCAGGGCACTCTTTGATGTGCTTCCTAAAATGTTTAATAAGGCCAAGCAGTTGCTTCTGATTCTGAGGCAAAAGATTTGTTTATAACTGAGATCATGTATTTATGTAATGCGTTGTCTGGGTTTTCTGGATCTGTTTGCAAGTACAAAGTAAAACGCACCATCATTTCTTTAAATTTTTCTTCACATTTTGACCTTCTCTATCCAGCGACATGAGGCACATACACCAGCAATCTTGGATAGCAGGTGCACTCAACATCATAGAATATTTAGGTGTATACATGTCTCATGACTGACTCTCAGAAGGCCTTTGTGTTCAAAACTCCTCTCCTGCCATTTTTTCCTTTCCCCCTGCACAAGCATCTTTATTAAGGGCGGAAGATTGCTTGTGTTAGCTTGCTTCCAACCAGACCATTTGAAAATGAGCAGAGGGCTCTGTGCAGTGTGGTGGTCACACGAGTGACACTGGGCTGTACTTGCTCCCAGGAACTCCAGGGCTAGCACACTTACTACAACAGCTTCGGCTCAGGGCAACCAAAGTTAAACCCATCCTCATTACACCCTGCAGCTTTTGTATTGTCCCCAATGAGCACATTCAAAAAAGCCCTGCTACTGTCTTTGCAATCAAAGGCAATAGCACTGGTGACAGTTACAGTCAGACTTTCACTGAAAACATTTTCACCTTGTTGCATTGAGTAAATCAAAATGTACTTTACCTGTACTGAACCACTGTTAAGTTCTGCTCCCCACAGTGCCTTGCACATCGGATATACCTCATCCAGCTTGACTTACTGGGTTCTCCACCATCAATAAAGTGCTGCAGTGTCCCATCTTGGTCATATATCTGGGGGAGATGTCACAAGGTCAAGTAGTTAGAACAAATCATCAGCAATCATTTTCACTGCTTTGCTGGTGTCTCTCTGTGCCTTTTCCAGGAATTTATTGCCATGAGATTTGTCACTGCGTACTGATGCTCTCAGAAATCTACATGGAACAGCAAAAAAGTATTTTGGGGGATGCAAGTTTATCATGTTTCTTTTATCAAGCCAATCTTTCTGTATTAAACATATTTGTGGTGTCTCAAAGATGTGACCATGTTTCCCAAAGAATATTTAACCTATTTTGACAGGCTGGCCTTAAATAATGAACTGCCAGATAAACAAGAAAATCTGGATTTAAAGCCTGCATTGAAATGGCTGGAACATCTGAGCAAGGGGCAGTAGTAATCCCTAAACAAGTACCCCTTCCTTCACATCTCAGTTGCAGCAAGAGCATGTACTTCAGCAACCTCACAAGATACATTAGGGAGTTGTAGGCTTCATAATACCGAAATACATGAGACCAGAAGGAAAAAGACAGTTGAAGATGCTTTTAGGAGCTCCCTTGAGACATATAATTTTTTGAAGTAGTAAATGAGTAATTAGTCGTGAGGGAATCATAGTTTTCCTAAACATGACATCCCTGCTAAGGACATGAGAGCCAGTTATGGTAATTTTTTAAAAAGACAGTATTATGTCTCCAATCTGCGCTGGGTGCTCCCTGTGAAGTCAGGGAATAAAATTGCTCTGGAGGCTCTGAAATGATAAGATACATATTTCATGCACATCTGCCCTCCTGGCTGATTAAAAAAAAATTATCTAGGAAGCGTTAATCCTAGTAAAACCATATCATCTCACAAGATTTTTACCTATTACGTAACTACTTTGTTAAACTTCAGAAACATATCTGAACAATTAGATGCTTTTCTGAAGCAAAGCTGATCTTCAGGTCTTTTGCCCCTCCACAGACACCATCTGCTTTAATAGTCTTACTCCAAAAATGTTATCCTTTTTGAAACTGTATGAGCCTAAATTGATCTGTTTTCTTGAAAGTACTAATTCTGCTAATTAAAGAAGAACCACATTTATTACATTGAATTGAACATTTCTAAAGCAAGCAAATTAATCATTTTGTATTTCCATTTCAATAACAAGAGAATAATCTCAGAAATTATGTAACTATATTCAATATTTCTGATTTATTAAAAGAGTGTTTCCTACAATGCATGCCAAAACATACACGGGAATCAGAATCTCGTTCTTTACCACATGAGAGTCTCAAATTCAGGAGCCAGCCTTGCTTTTGCTTTTGACCAGGAGGGACTGGGAGTAATCAGGAGCAATATATCCATTGCTGGAGCATGAGACAGGGAAATCAAATGTCTACAGAGATCCTTATCATTTGTTCCCGAGTGCCTGTGACAAGGACCAGGAGGAACCTGGCCAGATGTTCCCGGACTGGAGAAGCAAGATACTACCCCAACATGCACTGAGTGGTGGAATAAAGTCAGAGAAAACGGGAGCATTTGCTCAGAGGCAAATACTCAAAATACCAGGGATTTGGTTTATTTTTTGTCTATGGTAGCTTGTTGATTATCAGCAAGGATCTATTCTTATGTAAACATGTTAACGTATGTTGAATCTATGAGCAAGATATGCTAAACAATAAAAATCTGTAATGGGAAATTGAAAAGTTTTACAGGAAATCAGTCTACAAAAAGGAAGAAAATGAAAAATTAATGACTAACAGTGTTTGGCTGGGACCATTTTGGCAATATCTATACAAACAGTCTCAGCACAGTGTTTATTATCTATTCATTTACATGGTGCTTACTAGCATGACAGTATATGGCTTAATGTGAGGCAAAAACAATTCCTATAAATTAAGAGCTGATAGCTCCTAATCCCCAGATGATATCAAACAGGAAAGACAAAGACGACTGCCGTAATCAGTACTGACAGCCATATCTGGACACACAGGGACCTACTCAGAACTCTGTGTATATGGACACATGAACTGACATGACAAATTAAAACCTGCCACCAAAATGCAGGACTGGAGCTTTCTCAGGCCTTGGCCTGGAGCAGGAACAATGGCTCTGCAAACACAACTAAATATTTTCAAAGGCTTTATTCCTGCAAGTACTTATGCATCAGTGACACTATGCTTTCCTTTCCTAGGGAGTTATTACTGACATTGCAAATAAAACTGCATAGTCAGAATCCATCCCACAGCATTCTTAGCCCTGTTCTTACAGGAATGAAAACCCAGCTGTAAGGAAGCAGAAACTCTAACCTTGGAAGGCAAATAGCAACACTGCATTATATCTGTTTATTTGCCAAATTGCACAATACAGGTTAAAATCTGAAAAACTTAACTGATATGGCTATTATTATTCATACTACCATTATGCACCAGTTCTTAGTCATTTTACAATTGCCTGATTCTGGCAACCACTACATAATTGCCTGAAGAAACCATCATGAGGGAGCAAACCATGACCTGCCATAACAGAGGAAAAGCAAACCTGTAGCTCAAGTTGTGAACCCAGACATTATAGCAAACTATATGGATATACATATATGCCTGCATCTGTATTACACATGCAATATATACTTAAACACTCATAGTATCTATTAAAAAAACTACTGCAGAATCCTGTGATAAACTGATTTTACTGAAAATCTTTGACTACCTCATTAGATCACTACAGCCATCTACACTGGCATAACTTTTAATACATTGCAAGAGCCTCATGGCAAAATAAAACGTCATTTCTGAAACTCCCTATGGAGAATGCATGTTTTTTTCTGTATCTCACAACAGTCAGTGATCTAAGTGGTGGAAATAATATTAGTTATTTCATTTTTTTATTTTGATTACACTTGGAAGTGCTAGGTAAACTGCTTACTGGATCTTTTCCCTCTTCTGACCCAAAGTACTTGTTAACGGTAGTTTTTTGCTTTTGCTTTAAATGTTTCAAAGCTTTAAGATTTCTTTTTTTACAGTCTGTTCCAATTTTGAGGAGTGCAGCAGACTGCTGGCAGAGACCGGAGTCTGATGGAAAAGGACTGCACTAACCTTTTTGTTTGACATGCCTTGTGTTCCTCCTTAGTAGCTCCCATATAATTAATTAACTTCTTAATAGGCTCTTGACTGTTTACTGGTAGTTTACTAGTATGTTACATATCAAGAGACTCAGAATGCGAAGCATATCATTAATCTATGAATTTCATTCTTTGACTTCAGAATACAATAGAAACAACTTCGTTTTCCAAGGAAGTAAGTCCAAAGTGTAACCAGTACAATTCAAGTCTTTTTTTTTCCCATTTTTTATATTCCTTTCCTTGCAAACACCAGTTTACTCAGTAATCAAGACATAAATACAGAAAGGCATGAGGTGTATGGTGAAATTTCTCACAGGGTGACACTGATATTACATGTGACCTACACATGCATTCCATGTGAGAAATACAGGAAAAAACAGGTAGAGTGCCAGCGTACTGATACTGGTCAGGTTTATCTTGTAATGGCTTGCAGATATAAATTAAACATGAAGGATTTGGATTTATTACTTGTTGTACTGGTTATTGATAATTATTTGGAGGCTGTAGATACTAAAACTTATAATGATGTTGATAGCAACACATAATGGTGATAATTATACCATTTCTAAAGTACACAGTGTTTCATAGAAGTGATGCTCTAAAATCTATGAACGATCATTACTAGGTAAAATAAACAGCAGTTGCTGGACCATCTGTCACTCTGGCAACATACCAAGTCCAGGTAGGACCATGTAAGATTTAAGTAGTATAACAGATAAGGCAGAGGACTAAAGAGCCTTCTAGAGAACTCTCAGTTACTTCAGTCTGACATAGTTAGTATTGCTCAGTTGGATAAATGTGGACAAATGCAATTCCAACGCTAGAGATTGTTGTGCCAGTTTCTGGTATAAATGCCACAGAACTTTAGAATAAAGGAGCCCAAAAGTAATAGCACAGCTGCAGAGAAAGCCAAGCTATGAAGCAATTAAAAACAATTTCACAGAAAAGTCAGGGAGAGCAAAAATGTTTAGCTCATTGGAGCTCTCTATCTATTGCTTTCCTTTGTTCTCTTTCCATGGCCTGCTAAAGGATTGTGTCTTTTGAAATTCTGCCTGCATTCTATTTTGTTCATTTAGTCAAACAAAAAAAGGTATTAGCATACAATTTAATTGACCTCTCATTTTCCTTGCAGGCTGAGGGAGAAAAGACTGGTCCTGAAAGTGGAATTTTTCTTTGCATATACATTTGTATTGTTAAAGTAGGTATTAGAATAATCTTTTATGTTGCAAGACATCAAAAGAGTTGTGAAGAAAACCACAAAACATGCAAGAATTAATTCTTACCATTAGTAGAGAATCTTGCTTTTTGCTGTTCATTGCTATTCTCATTGACACCACATGCATAAGGTCATGGGATTTTCAAATTACTCAGCATTATCCTCCTCCTCCCACAAGAAGTTCTACCCTTGACTTGAGTGGGAAGAGTCAAGAGAGCAAGGAGTACTTTTGATGAGTACAAACATTTTGTAAATCATCAGCTGTGCAGTTAAAAACCATGGAGGTACTTTATAAAATACTGGAAATACGGAGAAAAAGTTGTAACAGTCTGAGGAAACAGACTGACATGTCAGATTTAGTAGCATCCATACGAGTTATATTCTTTCTATAACAATGTATGCACCTACAAGCCACAGCAACACTGAAAACTTCTTCCCTTGCTGGCTTGGACATTAAAACTGATTAATTTCTGCACTAGGCAAATCTCACTACTGTGAGACCCTGCTTTTAACATAACAACACTACAACATCCTCTGCAGGTGACTGTATCCTAAACAGAAGTTGAAAACAATGCCAAAAAGAGCAATGTTTGATAAGTCTGGGTAATTAGCTGACAGTCCGTAAAAGGTGTGCAATTATGGAAGATTACATTCTGAGACTGGACCTATAAAGCCTATTCTTGATAACAGAGAGAGCAGCCC